AGAGGGGAGCATTGCCACTGAATCGACCTAGGAAGATTTTTTTGGCTGGAAGTGATGCTGGTCCTGCACGTGTCGCCGGCCCTAACGAGTTCAGAGACCAGGGTGGCAATGACGGTATTTTGGCAATGGGTGGAGGCAGTGGGTAAGTGAACACATGTTTGCCGCTCCTATAGTACTCATTCACATCATAGAACCGCTAATTTTACATATCTGATATCGGTGCGTTCACGTCGAAATCTTGGCAACTCTTTGATTCAATCGTTGATTTTATTCAGCCCTACGAAGCACTTCAAGCGCGCGCACGACAGGACCGTACAAGCGTCTCTTGGTTATTTGACGACTTCAACGTTGCGAGAGCAGGAAACATGGCAATTGGCAACTCTGCCGCCATTGTTTTCGTCAACTCAGACTCAAGTGAAGGCAGTGATAGGTCAGTCGCGGGCCATCTTGATGTCCTGAGCAAAGATCTGATTTTTTTCTCTGCAGAAGTAATTTAACCGCCTGGCACGGAGGAGACAATCTAATCCTCGCGGTCGCAGCACAGAACAATAACACCATCGTTGTTGTTCACAGTGTGGGCCAACTTATTGTTGAGCCTTGGATAGACCATCCGAATGTCACCGCTGTAAGAGCAATGTATCATTGCATGATAGTGCTTTATGACTAACGTCACTTAGCTCCTCTGGGCGAGCGCTCCAGGCCAAGAAGCTGGGAATTCGATTACAGACGTTCTGTATGGAGACTGGAATCCGACTGGACGGCTTCCATACACGATCGCGAAACGCATTGAAGATTATTCTGCTCAAGCGGTAACCGGAGGGACACCTGGAACCATCCTCCCGGTCCCGTACACAGAAGCGTCCGTCTGTCTGGCCTATCTTCGTCTATAGAAATAACGACTAACATATTTCCAGGCTACTCATCGGCTATCGGGGTTTCGATGCTGTGAGTGTCGTCAATCTGTGCATTGTTGTTGGGACTGAAGCGTGCCTTAGCGCAATATCACCCCTCGATTCGAATTCGGTTTTGGTCTCAGCTACACTCAATTCGAGTATAGCAACCTCCATATATCGAAGGTTATCTCAACAGGTTCAAGTGAACGATCCCAGGAACAAAACTGGAGTCAAGGGAATTCCAGCTCGATAGAGTTCGGCTCATCGACTGCTCTATGGTAAGCCGCTGATGGACAAGATTCAGAATTTGACAAATTTTTACAGGTTGCATGTACCTGCCTTCAGGGTAAGCTTTGACGTGAAAAACACAGGTAAAGTAGCTGGGGGTGAGGTATGCATCATTAAACTTACTACATCGTCTTTGATGTTAATCTCGAGTGTGATAGATCCCTCAGGTTTATGTTCAGATGCCTTCTTCGGCTGAGGAACCACCGGCGATTTTGAAGGGATTCTCAGACGTTCACTTGCAAGCCGGACAGACCAAGAACGTCGTTATCAACCTTTCACGTCACGCACTCTCAGTTTGGGACGTTGTCGATCAAGGGTGGCGAAAACCAGAGGGCACAATTGGCATATCTATTGGAGCAAGCTCGAGGGACTTCAGATTGCACGGGACGGTTACGTCTTGATTATTTCGGTTCACGATGTTACATATCTTGAGGAAGATTTAGCAAACGACCTTATAAAGTATCAAAATATGTTTCCCTTTTTCCTGTCATGAAAAAAGATCACCTTCCATCCCGCCTGTGACCATTATCACTTCTCCCGACACGTGCCCAGAGATGCGGGGAGAAGATAAGACAACCACCTGGCCAGCAATATCGCTCGTCAAGCCGACCTTCTTCAAGGGTGTTCTGTTGTCACGTAAGGAAGAGATAAATTTGTTTCATAGATCGAAGCGTACGTAGCCATCGCGCGATACACGACCTCAGGATCATTCAGTGCTTCTGCCACCATGGGCTACGAAGTTTCTGTTGGAAAGGTCACTCGATATTTAGGTATAAACTCACCGTTTTCACCCATCCCGGCGCAACGCAATTAACCCTACCCTTGGGCGCGATCTTGACGATCTCGTTCTTCAAAGTTAACGTCAACCCATACATCATTGCTACAACTCGAAATTATATTAATGTACAGGGAGAAAGGGGTTGCAACGCACCACTCTTGGATGCCGAATAATCGGCATGGCCAATCTCGCCTGCTCGTTGATCAACTTTAGAAGACGTCTAGGACGGTGGCTTAATACAATTTCTCACCGAATTTACCAGAGCTGCTTCCAATGAAGAGGATCGAAGAGCAGTTCTTGGTGCTCTCTGAAGCACCCTGCAAGCCCTTCAAAAACTCCCGGCAGACAAGGAATGATGCGGTTAGATTGACATCGATAGTAGACTTCCACTGCTCAAGTGACATTTGGACTACAGGTAAAGAGGATGAAGCATTGACAAAAAGCTGAGCGACAGCGCTTTCAATCGTTAGATCGGCTTGAAGGGCTTGCACTTTTTCTCCATATCGTGCGCGTACCGAGTCCAAGTTCTTGTTGCTCGAGTTGTAGTGTGCAGTTACCTTGGCGCCTTGCTCTATCGTATCTCAATACATCAGAGTAGTGACTTCGCAAGTTCTTGAGCCAAATTACGTAGGAAGACATCAACAATTTCGAGCCCGATTCCACCATTTGCTCCTAAAGGGACCCAAAATATGAATGAGCGTAACTGATAAGAATAGAAAAGGCTCATAATGACCGGTGACAAGGACATGAACATCTTGTAGGCCTAGATCCATGCTGCTGCTGCTAGATGGTTGTGATTTCAAGTTGGTGGCAAGATTCAGTAGTACGAGGTCGATACGGCCCGGTCGGTTGAGAACCCCGGCCCGTCAAAGGCTAGGTGATTAAGCAAGTCCATAAATCGAACAGTCTGGTCTGTGCAAACTTAGATTTGAACTTGTGCATTAACTTTTGGTCGGACAAATCCTACTAATACAAGATTCATACAGTGCTGATACATGTTATCGTGCGTCTCACAGAACGTATTCAGGGGGTCATTGGGTCATGGAAATGATCCACGAACTTGAATTCGAGCCCTTCATTTGCCCATCATATGCCTACCTTCCTCAATCTTTTTCTCGTTGTGGCCCAATTTCCCAGAAATAACCTTCGCCTCGCCTTTTACCTTCTCCATGAATCCAACTTTGTGACGTTCACCAGTGCTTCCCTCACTCCCAGATGTCGAGCGGCGTTCCGCAGATACCCCAGAGGATACGCTCGTGTTTGTAGGCTGAGAAGTGCTAGCGTGACTGCGGGCCTCCGCTTCCTTGTTGACCTCCGCTTCCTTGTTCAACTTCGGATCGGGAGGGTGAAGGGTGGCTGGGTGGTACCCAGGGTCGCTTCGAACGTCTGGCTGTGTGCTGCCTCCTTGCATCCCGCTCTATTTGTGATAGATCAGTGACGAGCGCGTAAGTATCCGATGTCAAAAGACAACGCGCCTTATCAGACGTGGCACGATGGGCTGTTGCTGCATCACTGGAGGTACCGACAACTGTAGTCCCAAGCTTCGAAGGTGTGGAAGGCGTTGTTTCGCCAATCCGTGAGCTTTCGCCTTCACGCTGGAGGGACAAGTCAGAAACTCTCTCTGGAAACAACTGCGGATATGCGTACCTGGGCCGTACGTTCAGCAGCGGCTCCTCCACTGAGGACGCCCAGCCCAGCAACTTCCAAACCTTTCGCCCCCGTAGGGTAGGAATCGTCTGGTGCTACGTTAAAGGCGTCTCAGATAACCAATATTCACGCACATTGGGGATGGATGCGTTCCTCTGGGAGCATCGCGACACGGCTCTCGTTTGGCCCTCCTGGTAAGGGTCCGACGCCTCCAGTTTTGCCAAGGATCTCGTGGTCTGTTTCATGCGATGGCATCACCTCCAGGCGCCTTTCCTCCGGAGTCTTTGCGACGCTGATCTCGGAGTAGTTTCCGGGAAGGGACCCCACGCCACCAGCAGAGCCAGAGGGCTTCTCCTTCGAGGGTAACGGGCTGTCAGCCGGAGCACCTCCCGCTAGGGTGGTAAGTGCTTATCAGTGTATGTACAAACTGAGGATAGACTAGACTAACGAAGATATGCTGCCACAGATTCGGGGAGGTATCCCATGGCGCTCTGGAGCATGCTCGGCGACGTAGAAGGCTTGCCTACTATAAATCGGTGAAGAATTGGCGCGATCCTAACAAAGGGACTGATGCGAACCATGTTTAGCAGACTTATTGGCCTTGCGATGGTGAATTGCCTTAGCGGAAGCTTGTTGTTGGCGGGCTTCCATCGCTCGTTCCTCTGGAAGCTTGGCGACGCTGGCCTCAGAGAGGTTTCCCGGCAGCGATCCAACTCCAACTTTGGAGCCTCCTGGAATTTCTTTCGAAGGCAACGGGGACTGATTTGCGGTCGCGCTGGCGGCTGTTAGGAGAGCATGAAGTGGAAGTTTGGACGAGAGCAGTATTGATATTCACGAAGATATGCTGCAACAGAACCAGGAAGATACGGCTTCACGGTTTCTGATGCCCTTTCGACGGCAGAGGCTTTGCCAGGCTCTTTAGCTTGAGACGAAGTGACTGGCCCCGGAGCCGATTTCTCGGCAGACGGTACCGTTCCAGCAGACGCAACTGGCCCTTTGGGCGCTTTAGCTCTACGGTTTGAGATTCTTGCTCCAAGAATCGACTTACTGGGAGAGGGAGATGCCCTGGGAGACGGCCTGGGAGATGGAGACGCCTGGTTTCTGAACGGGTTCCTGTCATATGGGGACTTGTCTTTGCTTGTCCACTCGCTGGAGGGCATACGAACGGGTTGATATGTAGCCATGGAAGTTATGATTATGTTGTCGTCTCTCCAATGTGAGACCGCCCATTTATAGTTGCGGGAGCGTGACGACAATATGACGTACAGCGAGGCAGTGCAATCTGGCGCCACACAGCTCCTCCATCGCTCACCTGTAGACGTATCGAAGACTAAGTACCAAACCCCACAGGGTGCCCACAATGACTGAATGCCTTGGCTATCTCTATAGCGCATGGTGAGATGGCCGAGCGGTCCAAGGCGCCAGACTAAGGAGACCAGGACAGTTCCTGTCCAGTTTATCTGGTCTCTTCGGGGGCGTGGGTTCAAATCCCACTCTCATCATATGTTTTATCCTGTTTTTCCAGAGGCAAAGCATACAAAATTGTTTTCGAGGCGGGGCACTTCAGGCAGCCCCCTACATGTACTTACTTAGGATAAATAGCCCCAGATATTCTACCTAACTAGGCTGCGAGACCTGGGCT